GACGCCTCGCACCACGCCGACACCGTGCCCCACCACTCCGCGCCCAGCTGCACCACCGCCGCCATGCCCTCCACCTCACAGTGCACGCCTTACATTGTGCGCGGTTCACACTTAGCCAGTACAGTTGGTCAGTCGCACTGGATAGGTATAAAGAATGGCAGTCCAGTTACAGAGTAAACGTTCTACTGTACTGGCCAAGTGTGAACCAAGCATTATGCAACTATAGAAGGCCAGTAGTGCTCTGTAACGCTTCAAACTGTCTATAATATTTTTGAGTGCATCAGTTACTTTCCGTATTAGAATGAACACTAATTCAGACAGATAGACTAAAAAAAATACATGCGATTTTCGATGGAACACAAATACATTATCTGGGCAAAATCTGTTTTATTTTTTCTTTTTTACATACAGACACTGCAATTTTGTTATATGTATAGATAAGATTGGCTTTAGATTGCTTATAATACTTTGCATATTAAAATCACCTTGAGTGCGCCGTGAAGTAGTACACAAAAGTTTGGCACTTTGCTTGGATCTGTATTATCTTCATCGGTGGTCGTTGTTTCGCTGCTTGTACCTTCCTGGAAATTATAATTGTAATAATATGCCAAGTAATCCAAACTCTGTAATTAATTTATCTTTTTACTTACTTTTGTAGGTGTTTTAGAGCCATAGTTTTCTCTGTTGTTATTATTTGCTTGAGGTTGAGGTATTATGAGATGTTTACTGATAGCTATTGGAGTTCCTACAAGAAATCAGCAGAGTATATACTGTGCCTGCCGCTAATAGACAATACGTTATTTTAACATGGTTAAGTTTCAGCATAAATACATATAACTACACTGTTTTCAGTAATGTATTTATCTGTCAAAATTGTATTTAGCAAGCCTACAAAGCATGATTATATTTCAATAGTCATAATTTGTCAATAATCTGTACCAAGCACAAGTCACAGTATAGAGTTGAAGTATAACTTAGAACGCGCGCGCCTTTGACTAAACGATCGCACAACTGTTTAGTCGCGGTTTGAATCCTATGAGCTTATATGGAGGTGCACACACTCCCGATTTTTAGTTGTAAAACTAAACAGTTGAATCGGCTGCCAAACAATCGACAATCGCAACAACAATTGCGAGATAGTTTAGTCAAAAATGTATGGGCACTCTTAAGCTAAAAATGTTTTTGAAATATTACAAAAAAAAATAATTGATTTTTTACCTAAATCTTGTTGTTGTAGGAAACCAACAACATGTATTTGATTGGATATAGTATATGTAGCGGCTAGCCCCTCATGTGAGGCAGGCTGTGGTGCTGGGAACAGTTGTACTCTAGTCTCCAACTGACCACACTTTAGAGTACACCAGAATTCTTGATATTGTTGCTCACATAACTTTGTCATTGATGTAACAACCTTAAAGAGAAAGATATATTCTATCACAAGGAAAACTCTACCACATGGGTTTTCTTTACTCCTCCATAGGGTATAGGAACCTTGTGGAAGAGCAAAAGCCCTGGTTAAGGTACAAAATATTACATTATATGTCGAAAACTATGTATTACTTTTTTATTGTAATCATATATCATATAAACTATAAATATATATAAACATTATAAATGCGAAAGTTACGATGGATGGATGAATGTTTGTTAGCGTTTGTAGCCTAAATGGCAAAATGGATCTCCATGAAATTGGGCACAGGTATAGAGCGTAGTCTGGAAGAACACATAGGCTACTTCTTATCCCGGGAATAGTTACGGTTCCCGAGGGATTCATTAATTCAGTTTTTTAATGTTTACTCGAACATTCTGCAATGGTTCAACACATCTTATTGAAATTTGTCACAGATATAAAACAAAATCTGTGGAGTACACATAGGATAAGGATCATCCCCGAGAAATGTCCGGTTCCTGGGGGATATGTAGCTTCTTGTTACTTATATAGTTTGTATGTTTTCGAATACCACATGGACGAAGTCACGGGCAACAGGTAGTTTTTTAATAAGTTCTTTCCCTTAAATTGATTAAAGGTGTAATTTTTATTTTTAAACTTGTAATATAAAAAGAAAAATATTGAGCAAGTAATCTGCTATTTAAATATGTTAATATATTTTACAAATTAGTTTCTTACCGCAGCTACAGAGAGTTGGTCAGGGCAATATATAGCACCTCTGTTAATACTGCCAGTTGAATTGTTCACAGTGCTGCTTGCCAAATCAACTATTTTTTGATACAATGGCATAGCTAAAACCAGTTAATTATTATGTTTTCAGTTAATAATTATACACTAAAAAAAACTATATTACCACCGCTAAAAAAACAAGTATAAAGAGTAGTCATCCCTCTTAAATTCTAATACCTATGTACAGTTGGCAAATAATGTATAACACATTTTCAAAATCTAAACTCTTGCTTATGAATTATTTAAGTTGTCAAATATATAAGATATAAATGTTTACCATGTTGAAGACATGAGTCATGTGGTGATACTATTGGAAGAATATGGATTTTTGATGGAAATGAAGGAGGTAAAGGCAACGCCTGGATTATACGATTCCTGCCTATTGTACCAACACCGCATGTTCCATCTGTTATCTTGAACAAATAAGCTCATTTTAGTATTTTACTAATAAAATGCTTAAACAACACTAAATATGTAACAACATACCAGAATAGTTTGCACAAGTGTTTGGTATCCCCATTCTCCAAGTATAAGTTGATTGACACCAGACAAGGCAGTTTCTATGCATGTTTTATCACCTTCTTCTAAATGACCTAATTTTGCCTTAATGCTATCATAATCACGAGTAAATGGAACAACCACTGAAAAAAGAATAGTATGCTTATTTGCTTATATACAATACAATGTATGGAGTGTATGAGAAAACAATGTTAGTGTAGAATAATATTAAATTATTACACATAGGTTTGAAAATAAACCACAGACCTCCTCTACAGCCTCAAAATCTCATACCTCAATATAAAATAAACAAGATAATATGTACCTATTGATTGACACTAAATTAACAGGTATAGTAGAATATTATTGTGTTTACCTTCATATGTGGAAGAAAATGTTATTAAAGCTACATATTCTAGTTTTGCATGTACACTTAAATAATCTAAAAATGTATTTATTGCCGCAGAAGCTATTGTAAGCCTAGTAATATTTTCTGTTGTGTCCGATGTCGGCACAGGCCGGGACATGGATAGTGAAACATCAAGTAATATTGCTGTAGGCATTTTTAAAATTTGCCTTTATATTATTGACTTAATGCAATTTCGTAGCACTTTTGCTACTTAATAAGACAATAAGTAATTATAAAAAACAAACACATTTCCCTTTTTTTCGAGTTTCGCATCAAAGCTTAATGTCAAATTAAATGTGACACATGAAATGACTTATGTCAGTTGCGTTTCGAAACAAGTACTGTACAAAACAAGTATTGTATAAAATTAAAATGATTTTAAAAAAGCTTTTTTTAACTTTCCTTCGCTCTCTATGCGCTATTCCCAGTTATTATAAATGCGTATGCGTGAATTTTTTATTTTCTTTTAGAAAAGCTACTGCTGCAAATACCTTGTACGTTAATGCTGTAACTTTTAACTTGAAAAGTAGAACTTTAATGATAAAAAGATGATAGTATGTTTGCTGTGAATTTTTGTTTAATTTAGAAGATTCACACAAACCTTAGCCCCAGCAAACGTTGGTATACACGAAAGTAAAATGAAAAAACTGTTGAATACAGTATTGTAATGTAGGTGAAAACATTCTATTGTATTCCCAAGTCTGCGGTTGCTTCGAATGTGTTGAAGCCGCTTAGATTTAAAATTTTAGTTGATTAAAACTTTAACTTTGACAAAAGCGTTTGTCGTAGATTTTATAGCTATGGAAGAAATCGTCGACGACAACAACAAATTGATCGAAGAAAACGTAGATACGGATTTAAATGAGTTTAGTTATAATTTTATTGATATACCATGGGACGATCGTACAAAAAGAAGCAAGATATTAATAGTTCTACTTCTTCTATCTATATTTGTTGCAACAATGGCTTTGGTCGTCAACAACTTCGTTGCGCATTATAATAGTTTTAGTCACAACAAATCATTTAAAAGTGACGACATAAATTGTAATCTCGTTAAGGTGGACGAGTACCCTTATGCAGCAAGAATATATTCTTTAACGTCGCAGCAGTTGATATGCGTTGGCGCGGTAATAAGCGAAAACTCCGTGCTGGCAAATGAAGTTTGTCTCAAATCTGGAACTGTGCGGTTATTTGTTGGGAGCACGACAGAGTACGGTTATTTTGTAAATTACTATGAATAAATACGTCATACATCAGGCCTTATAGATGAATAGCTAAAAGATCTTGTAATACCAATATCAGGTTAATCCTATGAAGTGTCATCTTATCTTACCACCACCTTACCCAACTTGTAGGTTTATCTGATTTTCTTATTAGAGATTCATATTTCTCAATTACAGACAGTATTGCAAAAAAGGATTCTCATTAGACGCTGCTGAATTGATACCACACGATGGCGTCGTATCTAAAAACTTAGTGCTTTTGTCAACTAACAAGAAAATGTCTCTTTGCGGAAAACCTATACAATTTGCTGCTAATATGGAGATGGACTCACACGCTTTCGTCATTGGAAGACCGCTCCGGGGAGATAGATCTCTCTCCCGACAACTCGTCTCTCTAGAGGCACCTGACAACTATACGCACAATGGCCAGTTGATTGATAATTCTCAGTCTAATAACGTGATATGCGTCAAGTACCTCTCCCGATGTCCGGTGAGGGCTGGCGATCTATTGGTGCAGGGCGGCCGCTTACTCGGTATAGCTTCAACAAGTATACAACGCAGCGTAAACAATGAGGTGGTCTGTTTCGCTAACGTCAGTATAATTAAAACAAAACTGAAAGAGCTGGATGACAGTTTAGATTTAAATTTATAATTTTTTTCAATGAATAAATTTCCTAAATAACGGACAAGTTTAATCATAAAGTTACAGTATTAAAAAAAAAAAACAGTTATACCTCACCGTATCGTATTAATAAAGAAATATTGGCGTAGAAAAATACACGAAAAGTATTAATTTTAAATTAAATTTTAATGAGTTGTTTCATTGCGTTTGTTTCGACTTGTTCTTTTCAAAACTCTCACTGAACCCAAGTCTACTTCCTCCGGACTAATAATACCGCTCCAGTTCATCCCTCTCAAATAAACGAAGAGAAGAAGAAGTCCTGTTACGAAGTAAAGAAACGGACTGGAGTTCTTGAAGATAACATTTATGTTTTCCATGTCCCTTAAATTGTTTTCCAAAACGTCAACATTTTATTTCTTTTATGCTCCAACATCCAACACAGATAACATCAATATATTGTCGATTTTCAAAAAAGATTTTTCTTATATCCAGCTGTAATAAAACAGTAAATGTTTAAAAAATATTCACAGGCCTAAGGTTTATAGCTTAAGAATGATTTCAGGAGAGATTAAGAGTCTCGTTAACACCGTGGAACCCACAGTCAGGGCTCTCTTAACCCAGGAGTGCATTACGTATACTAAGTCTAAAGGGGCGACAGCTAATAATTGTAGTGCTTTTGGGAAGATATATTTCGCACCCGGACTTTAAATGTAGTAGAGACGACCCTACTGTAATCTGATTTCTAGAGCGCGAATTTATTTGATGACATTTTTTGTTGGAAATAAAATAATGCAAGTTGTCAGTAAAGTTATAGCACATGTCAAAATATACCAGCTAACAGATTGATTTCGCCCAAAAGGATTGGGTTATAAATTAAAAATCACAATAACCTATTAAGTGCTCGTCACTCGAGCTATTGGTTGTCAGACTAGTACAGTATTTTCCTATATCAAGGATGTCAAAACTGCCAAGTTTTGATTGCTCCAAAATCGTTTTCGCGGCAATTAAAATGTTAATTTGTTGCTAGCTCCACTTGCGCAGCCCTGGCGTCAGCACATGTCATAGCATCGAAATGTCACTTTATGCAATGTTTTTTTTCTGTTTAAAGCTTTTGTTTTGGAGTATTTATAAGTCCACTAATGGAAATACTATCGATGCACTATATGTGTACAAAATCAGTTCAAATAGTATTGATTTAGACTAAAACATAAACCAACAACAAGTGGTTAATACAGATATTAATTTCTTTTAGTCAACAAGTACGTTTCCATCAATACTTCAAAAACTACCTTTGAGGTGAGATCTTTACTGTCATGTTAATAATTAGTTTTGATTTGTACAATGACAAATTTATCAATTACCTCAGATATATTATCCTTTACTCATGGTGTTACGTATTCGCTATTAATTTTATTGAAATTTGTCAAATGTGCTGATGATTTTTAATTTTGACATTATGCAAGTTTAATGTCACACATTGATGTCACATTTTAAAAAACTAGACAAAATATTGATCAAGAAGTCTTGATGGAGAGAAGCATGAAAAGCGAGGAAGTGAAATTAACATTAAGAACCACGTTGTTTTGTAATTTTCCGTTGATTAAGTTATAATGGAAAAAGTAAAATCAAATAAATATAAGTCAATTTCTCCCCGTGCCCTTGATAATCGGTGAAGGTTTAAAAATAAAGATTTAAAAAATTCCACGCGCGTATTACTTATTCAAGGTATTATGTTCCCATAAAGTAAATCGCTATAAATGGATAATCATGACATAAAGTAAAATCAATTCCAGGGAATATTTCAATTTTGATGAGTGGAATGGCGGCCCGCAATAAAAATATTAATTACTGTCTTGTTTGCCTCGTAAAGAAATCAAGGGGACATGAAATTTTTAGGGCGTTATTGGAAACGCTATTTTTGTTTATCCATATTGCTTGACTTCTTAAGGGAAGTATTTTTTTAAATACATTTGCTGCTTATTCTAATTACATCATACTAATATTATTATAATATCAGTATGACTCTAAAATTATAAATGTGAAAGTTTAGATGGATGGATGGATGTTTGTTAGAGTTTGCAGCCTAAAGTACTGAACGGATCTCAATGAAATTTAGCATACATGTAGTCTGGAAGAACACATAGGCTACTTTTTTTTTAATACCACACGGACGGAGTTACGGGCGAAAGCTATTTTAATATATTTGTATGATGTTAGGTAATGATTTAAGTGACTGGAGCATTTAAGGAGGAACTCTGTCAGATTCCCCGATACCCACAGAATTCGTACTTTGTTATTGCTTTCGTAATGTTATGTGAGTATTAAACAATGTTTGTCTTTAATCTGGGCCATTAGTATATCAGCGTTGTGTATGACTAATATGACTATGCGAGTGTTTTCATTCATTTCACGTTATTTTCAACGTTATCATTTGTGATTCGGTAATCGAAGCCTGTTCAACATATTGTCATCTCGCTCATTCCCTTTGAGAATACAGAGATGATATGATGTTGGTGATTCGGCAATCGAATCCCAAGGTAACAGTAATCTATGACACAACGCCTTATCAGTGTTTGAGTAGTAATTAGTACAAATGAACCTGTCATGAAATCGGAAACATTCTTCCGGGCAATTAAGAAACTGAAAATTTTTGAATATAAACTTCCTATGGATATTTCTATAACAATGATCAAATGTTTTATAAGCATTTATATATAGATGTAGAAGGAAAGCAAGTAAGTTAGTTTTCATATTGCAAAGTATTCTTATTATTTTTTACACACAGCCTTCAATTTTTTTTTTAAAGTTACTATTGCAAAAGGCAGAGATCGACACGTGGAAGACCTTGAGGGTTCATTGCCAATGCTGATGATCGATATTTTACCTACTATAGTTACTAGAAAAACACCAAAACGTTATTCAACGACAAGCATAGAACCCGAACAGATAGCGCCCAATTGTAAAGTGAAATTTTACTATTGAAAATTACAAATATATAATAATTGTGTTTTAATTTTTGTGATTTGAAGAATATCTTCATTGCAGCTATTCAACTGTAAGTACGTATTATATTTATGTTAATTTATAAAGCAATGTTCAATTTCAATATTGTAAGGTTATAAGAGGTAAACGTCCTTACTTGAGAGTTGTAAGCTTTAACTAGAAAACAATAGACACACTTTACCAAGAATAATTAATTGTAAGTCGCCAGATCAACTACAAATAAATTGTTAATTATTTTACAGTCCAGGTATAATTATTAGACGACATATCCAATATCATAATAGTAAACATGTTACAAATAATTTAGATGGATGGATAGATGTTTGTTAGAGTTTGTAGTCTAAACGGCTTAACCGATTTCGATGACATTTAGTATAGATATAGAGGATAGTCTGGAAGAACATATAGGCTACTCACTTTTGTTTTTTTAATCTCTAGCGGACGGAGTCGCGGGCAAAAGCTAGTAAAATATAAACCCAACAATAAATTTTCCATTTACAAATTTAAAGGTGAAAGATTAACGCGTATAAGATTAATTGAAATAATGGAGTTACTGTAGCGTGTAATGGCACCCGTCGACTTGCCTGCCAAATTAAATTTTGATTCGTAATAAGATAAACAGGGCCGTTGTAATTTCCATCTTTATGAAGGTAGTCATTCGCTACGTGCGATTTGTAAAGACGGAGCGAGATTTTAATGTTTGCACTTCGACGTTAGCGTGTCTAAGATTGTTCAAATAATGAATAACTCATAAACAAACGAGCGATGATTAATTTTCAAATCGTAACACATTTTGAATTAATTTAATCTGGCTTTTCCCGGGGTTTTTGTTAAATATTTCAAATGTTTTTTTGAGTTGATCGGTTAACCATTCAATAATTATATACGTCATTAATTATATCAATTACATGGTAATCTAATTTTCTTTATCATACTTTTTAACTGTAAATAACTACAATTAGTTTAAATGAGAAAATGGAGATGATTTACTACGTCATATTAATCTTTTCACAGTTATTGCGTCAGATTTTATTATGCGTTATCTTTGTGGTACAGTCGCGTCATAATTATGACACGCATGTAATGTGAAGTGACGATCTGACGATTCACTATGCATGTACTGAATGCGTTTTTCTATGAAAACATTATATTCATATTATTAATGCTTCATATTCTCTAGGAAAAGTTTTGTCACGGGTGTTTCGGCAGAGGAAACGAGAAGCAAAGCGCATCTTCATCAAATACTTTTACTCGGAAGATAATTATAATAATAGTTTTTCAGTTACCTGTTGAGAAAAAAAAACAGTGATAACGCAAATAGAATTAGGATTGAGTAAACACACATCAAAATTAGTGATTCTGCGTTAAGAAAATTCCAGAAGTTTTTATAAAATCAAATGCACTTCCCGACATAATGGTGTTATAGTGTTAAAAAGTATATCGTGCACTTAATTTGTATGAACTTAACAGTTAAGAAAGACTTTGAAAGTTCTTACTTAGTTTAAAACACGTTCTAGTACAATCTAAGACCCTGTTCAGGTCTGAAAGGATTGAACTTCTTTAAGTTTCGTTTATATCCGAACGTTTGTCATTTTTATAGCGATTCTTGATAACTAACAGCTTCGCAAAGAGTGAAAAAAGTTTAAAAGTCACATATTGTACGAGTACTATGTTTTGCAGTTCGTAACTGTAACATATTCGAACTAATATTTCTTATAAGAAAGAAAAATTTACGTCTACGGTAAGTTTATAGTCTACTTTTAATTGAACCCCTTTTTCTCCAAGATCTTGCTATATTTCTCTCTATGTATTAATGGTTCGAAAACTATGTAAAATGCTATTAACTTTGGTAATATCGTTAAAGGTAATTTAAAGCATTTACATGAAATTCAGGCTCGGAATGAGTACCTCCGTTTTTTTTAATTATGTCTTAAAATACCTATATATGTAAGAAGTTCCAAAAATTTTCCGAACATTTATGCAAATGGAAGGCAACTTTTTTGTCACAAAAAAACTGATTGGTGCGGAGGCGGTCATTGAGATGGTGACATGAATGATCTGAACGCATGCGCGCAGCATCCTCTCGCATCAAGATATAAGCCCGCCGCACCAACCAACCGTCACACAAGTTTGGCGCTACCAAACGTTCACTGAACATTGCGACCATACGATAAACTCATCTCCAACTCTCGACTCCAACCAGTGCAGTGTCAGTTTATTTCGTGAACACCTTACAATAATTTTTTTCATAATTTCGCGATAAATTTAAACTTTCGAACTACCGATCAACGCTTCTAAGGTAAGTTAGTTTATAAGTTATTTTATTAAAAGTTACCTTACACTTTTTATAAGTCAAGATGTGATAGATAATTTTAAATATGCTAATCTATTTTAATCTTTAAACAATATAATAAAGAAGCAAGTCCTTCTTTTAATTCAAAAATGTTAAAACTAATTTTTAATTCAATGTTTATAAAAAAAATATCAATACTTTAAAAACAGAATTGATTTAAAATAAATCATATACTTTTACTTTGTTGAAATTATAAATTAGACTGTTAATTTTTTGTACACATTATTCTAAAATATAGTTGAAATAATAACGGAGAAAAGATTCTGAAACGCGCAACAAGTAAATGCCGACGGAAACTTATTAATCGCGCAGATGGAAATTTCAATGGTAATTCGTATAAGAACACAAAAATACAAGGTTAAGATTTTAAATTTAATTGCTTAAAACGCATTATAGTTAAATCACATTGATTTAGTAACCATTAAATTCAATTCATTTGGCGTTGTGTTAAAAAAACTTAATGAAATAATTTTTGAGAACATACCTTCTACATGGGATGTTGAAAATCGCCTCAAAACTTTCAACGTTTTTTAATAATGTTATCTTAAAAATTCATCATCATTAATAATTCTTTCTCATCAATATACATATTGTGTACATTTAGAAATCTCTGTATAGTTCGGAATTTCAATAAAACTTCCTCGAACGCAGGAGAACGTATTCAATGCAAAATAGAATATTACTTCAGAGTTAATAGAAGTGTATTGCAAACTTTAAATTCTCAGCGATTTTCTATATAAAATCTTTAAATGATATTATTTTGTCAATTTAGTTTTAGATTCTACGGTCTAAGGATGTTGATTTCGTTTGAGCTTGAAAGAATATATTTGTGAAGTATTCTAACAAAAACCTTGAGTATCAAAAACAATCATAAATATTTACACCTGAAAAACTTTTAAAAAACACTTTAGTCCAATTAACTGATAAATGTATAGGATAATGTTAAATGTTTCTGTTTAAATTGCTATTTAAAGAATAGATTTTCCACGTAATTTTGGTTATTATTTTTTCCAATCAAAATGTATTAAAGGGTATGATTATGAATTCCATAGTCTGCTTTAGTCGCTGCTAAGGGTCCATTCATATAGTATTCAGAATTATTAATTAATTTCCTTTATTTTAATTGACTACGGTTTACATTGGCTGGTTTGGGAAGGTAATTTGTAGCCAGTGATTGCGGTGCAGACGGCTATGAAATACACGCTAAAATATTAAATGAACCTTTGGTTAATACATAGTGCTCGTAAGTTGTAATTATCATGAATATTTTAACAGTTAATAGTCTTTACTTCTTCCTTTTTGTAACATTATGCAGCCAGTCTCTTGTAGAACGAACAGTATACCTTTTTCTATTTTAGATTTTGCGTTTGTTTTTTGGCTACTCTGTAGAAATTCTTATTAACTTAAATATTTATGTATAGTACGATAAATGGATAACATTAGAGTTGACGAAGATATTTTCATCTCTATTAGGAGACTGTCGGTAACAACGTTGCTGCCATACTTTGTGTAGGTGACTTCAGATTTTTATTTAAGACCTTATATTAATTAGATGAAACTTAAAACCAAGTGAAAATGATTTATACCATGATTTCTATAGACAAAATTGGTACATAAGTCGTTAATAGGTGTAATTTTTTTAAAAATTATGAATAGCAAAGAAATTAAGTATCGAAAAATTTCTTCAATTAAAATATAGTTAAATACTTTTCCGTGTTCGTGTTGGGCAAGTTTAAGATGCACATAATTTTAAAAATGAATTTGACAGAATATTTTACTTTGGCTCGGGGCTTAACCTAGAATTCACAATATTACAATGCCTCTAATAGTTGGATGAATTTGTTAACGATTTGCAAAATCTGAAATGGGAATAACCGATTATTCTGTTATTCGAACATTCTATTCGATAAGCAACAAAAACCCTTATCTATAGTCAGTACCGCGGAGGCTCGAGGCAAAATGTAAAAATAGATATGTTTCATTTGCAATCATGTTTTATAAAAGTGAAGAATCCGTGTTATGTAAGCCACAGATTATAGCAAATATAGTAGTGATCTAACAGCATCGTAGCGTATGTTATTTCTGATTACTCTGTGAGATGATATTTCTCCTCATTCCCTCCAACCGATTGCGGAAACTTGGAACAATTTTGATGTGTTGACACAAACATTGTTTGCGAAGTATATTTATCTGGTTATGTTGTAACAATAACGTGTAGTTGGTTAAAGTTCAAGCCAGGAATGTAGTCAACGAACGGGTAAATGAGGTTTTGATAACAATGGCAATGTCGAGGCAAGGGTTGAATAATTACAAGTCAATATTCACCATAGAGACCTTCCTAGTACTGAAACTGTAAATTAATTGTATTAGAATAGTAGCAGTTTATCGCGTAAAATAATACTTAGTGATAAACTATGACTAATTCACTGGATTTACATGTGAAAGACGACGAGGTGCAAAGTTAAGTGTTATTTATTTTACTATAACAAACTTTATTTAACCACTAAACTCCACCAACTCCTCTTGGAGTTAAAAATGTTTTAATGCAGTTGGTTGGAGCATGAAGTGAGTTTAAAGTTTGAAGAACAAAAAGTGGGAAAAATTGTGAGATTCTCGTAAGTTTGAAGTCCTTAATCGCCGAGCTTTAGTCGGCTCTTCGTCCACTCGTCGCTCGCCAGCGGGAAAACTTTTCTTAGCCACGGATTAGTGCTTGCCCTTATGAAAGTTTCATTTCGTGTTACAAATATAAATAATTGCGACCTAAGTTTTGTTAATCATCGCTTTATATACACATGTAAAAATTACTTGTAGGTAATTTGGATTGTACTTAAATACTTTTTGAAAACACTTAAATAAACAATAAGTAAAAGCGAAGGAAGTTAATAAAGTACATTAATTTTTCTGTAAACAACTATTTAAGTATATTTAAGAACGGGTCGTTATAATTTACGTAATATTGAAAATAATAATAGTATACATGTATGGTACCTTTTTGGATTAAGGAAAATAGTGCATTCGAGCGTATTTAATATGTTATGATTAAATAACGAAATAGGGTCGGGTACAGCCAACACGATACTGGCTTCAAAATTAATATCTAATCGCATTATATTTCAGTATTACCGAAGAATTGTCCAGAAAGTTCTAAAACTTTGTACGGCAGGGCATAAAAGCTTTAGTTTTAAAATTATCTGCAAAGATTTTAATATTTCTAAACTAATTAAGAGATAGGAAAACGATCTTATTACAAAAGCCTGGACCTAATATAAATAACTTCGCTATAATATCTAAAGAAGATTAATTATCTTTTCATTAAAAATTTCGGTAATTTGGCGTGAATTCTACTCGAGCCTACCAACGACTTAGAAGAATGATGCCTTCAAATAGAATAAAATTAGGCTCGATTACTCCTACAGTTTACTTTTTTATATTTACTTCTATTCTATACTAGGTTAAAAATTCACACGCCATTGGAGATTATAAAAATAAAGTTGCAAATGAACCGCTTTTGCATTTAAAAGGGTCTTTTTAGAGGAATACTTCCAATTTCCTTCACTGATTTTATTAAAACGAGAAGTATTTTATTCCTCATACCTTACTCTTGTCTATAGTCTGGCAAATATTCACTTGTGTATTCATATGCGAGGCAATTTCTTGGGTGCCTTGAGAGATTTATGTTGTATCGGATATGCGACAGCTGCGTTTATGCACAAGGCTCTTTATGATCCTTGTTTTAATAAAAAAATCTATCAATCTAGTTCTCTATAAATATTCTGATGGCGTAAATGTGATTTTATCGATTAAAAATTCTCAAAGGTCTCATGCCAGATCATTTCTATGTCTATAATTTAGTTTTTTGTCCATATTCGCATCTAAAAATATCACTATTAATGTCTTCTATCTAAAAATAACCTTGCTAAAAATGAAGTGCAAAAATTTACAAATAGAAAAATGTAAGCCCATATAGTGGGTCAGCCTGCAGCCTAGACGCCTCTAGCTAGGCTCACTAATAAAATTAAGCTAACGAAGTCTCGTAATCTCCTCGGTGCTGGTTATTTTCAACGATTTTACCATTATTGTAGGCAACTTCGGTAATTGAATATCTTTTCATTTTCATCACAAAAGTATTTCTTAAGTCAATATTGAAGATCGTAAATCATATGGGATTTAAATCGATTGAAAACTTTTGTAACTACAAATTGTGGTTGTTAAAGTTTAAATCGAATTATAGATAGTTTCGCAAAACGAATTGATTCAATCAGACCAAAATTTACTTAGCCGAAATTTCTTTACATTCCAAAATTATCGTTTTACGAAATTCTAGAAAGAGTCTCATTCTCTTCGCCTTTAAGTCCTTAAGATATGAGGAACTAATACTGTGGCTTTAAACTAAATTGACCTGCGTATTATACTTATATCGTAGTCCTTGTTTTCTCCAAGACAATATAAGGGATGACGATATGTAATACAAGTGAAATGCAGCGTAGTTAGCCGTACAAATTATACAACATTATGAAATGATTCAGACACTTTTATGCGTCACACTTCATTGAGCACAATTAACAAAGCCAAAAGATATTATCTCTGAGCCTAGATATTGCTGCGGTAAAAGGATTATAATTAATTTATTACTACCGACAGCGCTGACTGTATTTACCCGTCGTGATATATCATAACCTAGTCATCGTTGACACGGAAAAAACTAGACTTACACAGTTTTACGTATTTCGTCAAGTTTGAAGCAAAACGTTCTATTAAAAAAAAACTAGTTAGATACAATATTTAAAAGAATTTTACATAAAATTTTGTGAAATCATTTGGAGACCCTACCACTGCAATGAGAGATAGAACTATAATTAGAAGAAAAACAGTTTTCGTCAGTAACGAAACAGACTTGAAAAGTGGGTGAAAACATACATCTATACTATCCACACTAATGTAATAAA